CTCCGCAAAGATAATAACCCGTTAGTCGCTTTAGGCGCGCTTCTAATAATTTTACCTTCTTAAATACGGGTGGGCATTTCATGCGACCCAAATCCAAATCCAAAAACGTTGAATAAAAATGTGTCGAGGATCCGGGTGCATTTCATGTGACGTGATCCGAAAATACGTTTTTAAACGACTGTTCACTTGCTTAAAAATTAACTAAAAGCGTTAAATAATTCTAAAATTGCACTATAGGTTTGAACATGTATAAAAATCAGATTTCAGCCATTTATGATGATTTAAGCGACCGTGCTAGAACCACGGGATCCGGGGGTGCCTAACACCTTCCCCCGGGTCAACAGAATTCCTTATTCAGAATTTCTGGTTCGCAGACTCCAATTGGGAATTCGAAATTTTCCTCGATTTGGGATTCAAGTTAAATCGGTGACTTGGGACACCAAAAGCCAATCTTATCCCAAGTGGCGACTCTAAAAGCAAATAAATAATCCCATTTCGAATAGTGTCACTTTAAATGGAAAAACTCCCTTATACATTATCCTTCGGGGTAGATGTGAAAAAGGAGGTGTGACAGCTCTGGCGACTCTGCTGGGGACATGAACCCAGAATTTTGATTCAGGGTTCAAGAATTCGAGCTTAGTACAATTGTTATATTTGGCTTTATCTAATTTTTCTACATGTTCCATGCTATATGTGCTAAATGTTTTACCACTTTGATATTTGTTGAAATTGTATATATAAACTGTTGCAAATCCCTTCCTCTCTCTGAGTCTTCTACATCATGGAGAAGGGTGCACTTCGTGTAGCTTCTCTTCTGTTTAGAGTCTTTCCCTATTTAGAACGAGGTTTGGATAAGTTGCTAAGCCGGCGGAGCTTCTGTATCCCCGGTACGCTGCCTCCCCCTCGGCTCGAGTTGTCCGCTCGGGTAAGCCAGGTCTAGACCAATAAACCTAGGGTTTAAACCTAGAAGAACAAAACTCATGCCGGATCCCTAGTAGGACGCTTGTTTGCATCATGTGCATTTGACTTAGGGGACTCGACACAGGGGTTGGGTCCGTCTAGGACAGGTGACCTAAAATGAATTGACCATCCTGATGCATCTTACGTGCTACTTGCGCATTTATTTGCTCGGATTTGCATGTTGACCGGCTTGTCTAAATGAGTGAAAATTGAGAAAATAAGCAGTGTTAGGACTAAGTGAGGGTGACCATTTGTTTTGAAAATCACAATGCCCAAATAGTACCGAAATGCTGCCGCATTTTTGAAAAAATGAAAAAAAAAGAGAAAGAGAAAAATATTTGAAAAAAAATAGGAAGAAGATTGATTGTTCAAAAATACATTTTTTGATTTTGGCAAATATGCCCGAACTACGCTGGTTTGATTCTCACCGGATGTGAGATACGTAGGCAACCCTCATCGGGTCCAACCACCCTTTTTGCAAAAATAGCCAAATAATGTCAAAATTTTAATTTTTGTCATGAATAAGTCGGGTGATACCATTCTTGTCTAAAATAAGTCGAATGTCCCTAAAAGGACACCGGAAGGCCGTTTGCAAGAACAGCCACCCTGAGTCATTTTTAAATGGTTTGCGGGCACACCCTTAAAATCTTCTCCCTAGAAGTGCTGAAAGGCCGTAATTGCAAATCCAAGTCCTTGTTTTCTAAATAAAGAATTTTTGCGCAAATAGCCATTTTTCAAAATAAATCATTAAATTCCCCTAAAATAAATGTGCAGGATGAATTCAAGTAACATCGAAACCTTCTTAGTCCTGAGCGAGATCCCTTTGAAACTCCATCTGTGGTGGCATGATTTGGGAAAAGGAAGCAGAGATACTGTGGTCAAAAGTTTGGGCGGCCTCGTAGATTTATTGAACATCAAACCAAGGAAGGATATCATTGAGGCACTAATACCATTTTGGGACCCGACCCATAATGTATTTCGGTTTTCAGATTTTAAACTCACACCTACATTAGAAGAGATTGCGGGATACGCGGGTCTTAACGGGAACCTCCGAGGTAGATACCCATTGGCCCCACGACCGGTAACCCTTCATAGGTTCTTGGATTTGTTGAACATCAGTCGGGATATTCAAGACCCGCACCTGGCGGAAGGGTGTTGTACATTGCATTTCTATATCACCGGTATGGTAACCCAAAAGGTTTTGAAGTAGCCCAACACCGGGATTGACACATGC